TCTTCAGTTTTTAAGTAATGTGTTTAGAAGCCACCTTGTCAACATAGCAATTGTTTTTGAAACTTTGAGACCTTTGAAAACAAATTTTAAATCTGTTTTGTTCCTGAAGTATTTGCACAGATGAGTGTTGAGATTTTATTCTAAAGATGTAGCTTCTTGCCCAGAAGGAGAAAAATGATACATGCTCGCATTTATAAATAGAGGTATCAGCATCTGGAGGGGGTTTATGTCTCTTGCTTGGGAACTCAGTTATTCCCAACTGGAACATTGTACTTGTGAACAGCCCACCGGAGTCACTCCAGCTGGAGCACCCCCCAACTCTAGCATCACTATCCCCCCTTTGCCTGAAGCCCCTTCCTACCATAGTGCACGCTCAACCTCGCGCCCATCTGGCTCTGAGGACCTCGAAACCCCTCGCTGAGCCTGTTTTCCCATGGTAACTGGTCTGTGACTTCTTGGAGTGGTTCTTTGGGGCCTCCCTTTCCCCCCAGAACATCCCTGCTCTTCCCAGCTAAGCACTGTCCCTGTGTGTCCCACCAGGAAACAGCAGACCCCCCCCCACCCCTGCTTCCCAGTAAATGTTATGTATAACAACCTGGGGAGCATCCATCTTCTCCCTTGAAGTCCCATTCTGTGGTTCCAGTCACACCTGTGGGGACCCTGGGCCATCGTGCTGCACCCCAAGGAGCAGCTTGACCGAGCTGCACTGCCACGTCCCAGCTGCCTGCCCAGGCTGACCTCTGCCAGCTGCCATGCCCTTGGGAGGCAGCCCCGTGCAGGTGAGCCCCATGGTCACCCGTGCTGGCCCAGGAGGGCCGTTCAAGTATGAGTGACCCCCTCCAGGCTCCCTTCATGCATTGATGTCTCCAGGTGGCCAGTCTCATGAACACCTTGCTCTCACACTGGCTGTGGGTGGCAGGCTGGTCCCTGGAGGAGCCATAGCCGAGTTGGCTGTGCTAGTGAGGTGATGCTATCTCTGCCTCTGATGCAACCTGACCCTTGCCCCGTCATTCCCTCTGCTGTGCTCTGCAAAGACCCCTCCCAGCCCCATCAGCAGGTGCAGCATTGAATCAGGGTCATTATCACTCCACAGATCCCGCTTGTCCTAAACATGTCAGATATCCCCAAACCTGTGTGCCCAGGGCCGAGCATCTTACAAACACAGCTTGCCCATTTAACTCAGGTCAGCTGTAGCTGTCAGGTCAGCTGGAGGTGTGGTTATGACGATGGGGTGTGGCCGCCCTACAACCCTGCCTCCCCGCACCTGTGAGGCCCTAATAAGATCACCTCTGGCTGCCAGGCACACTAGCTTCTGCCCTGCACATGTCTCCTACTCCCCATTCCTGCACCCTCCCAGGACAGGTTCCAGATCTGCATGTCCAAGAGCAGTGACTGTTGCCTTAACTTTACAAAAAAAAAAAAAAAGCATATGAAGCTTGTTTCTGACCCCCACTGCCTCTTGCTGAGCTCCAGGACCCAAGTGTTCCACATTGGGTGGAGACTCCCAGGAGCTGGTCTGCTTGGGGGGGTTGCTTCTCAGTCTAAGTGGCTTCCTCTCTCAAGCCTCTCTCCCAACCTGCTGGGCTGTGAGGGGCTCAAGGATGGGTTCTGGATGCGGGAACTCACACCAGCCGACCTGATGGATGGTCAAAGGCCAGCAACAAACTTACGAACTGTCTGTTGTCAGTAATACTTGGAATTTCTGTTTACCTCTCAAGTGTCTGGAAAACATAGCATTTCAGAGGCTCTTTGTCATCGTAGATCCAATTTGTTGCCAGAAATGTGGCAGCTGAAGTGGCATCCTGTGAGGAAATTAATAAATCCTGAACACAAGTAGCAACTGTCTCAACACTAGAACCCAACCCAGGGGTATGTGGAGCAGGCCGCAGCAGGCTGTGCACAGGAAGCGTGCTCTGTGCCCAAGTCTCGTGGCCTCAGTGTGAGACAGGTCTCCTGTGCAGGTTCTGAGAGCTGGGGGGCTCCAGCTTGGGGAGTTCAGTCGTCTGGATGTGGACAGAAGGACCCTCCACTGAAACCCCTATGGTTTTGTATTTCATGTCTCCCCTGGGAAACTTGGCTACAGGACAACCCCACCACCACCACCTCCATGAAACAGAAAAAAACAAAACCCCACCAACCTATGGATTTCCCAAAGCTTGGAGAGTGTGGTGTTTTAATCCTGTGGGGGAGACCTGAATATTTCATTTCCAGCATGAACATTGGTAAGGATTTGATATTCCAAAGGTGTTGTAAATTGCCCAAATAAGAGCAGGCTCTTAGATGTCTATCTGGTCACCAGTGGTGGAGGTAGGGGTGGGGTGGGGGGGAAGTGGCCTGGCTCTTGTAGCCCCTAGAGCTGGCAGGAGGGGAGCCGGGACATGTGTTTGGCAGAAGCAGGTGTGGCAGGTATGGTCGGACCAGACATAGCTGAGAACAAAGCCCGGATGTTCTGAGCTGGATTTGCGCCTTTGCGTTCATGCAGCCTCTAGGGTAGAGCAGGCCCTCCCCGGTGTCTCTGGCCAGGTGGTGGACAGAACCTCAGCACCGTCCCAAGTCCCTGCAGCCCCGACTTTGTTGGACATGTTTTTGGGAGATCATCAAAATGGCAGGGGCCCCAAGAGGTGGGGAGAGGGCACTGCTGCCTGGAAAAGAAAATTCGTGCTATTTTTTTTAACGGAGAGTAGCGCTGAGTCCAAGTGGTAGGTGACCTTGCTGTTGAGTTCAGTGCTGCTGGGAAATGAGAGAAGACAAACGTGGCGAGAATGCTAATGAATAGTGGTGGACGGGAGCCCAGAGCCCTGGGTCCTTCACTATCCCCAAGGGCTGCTGTGTGATGCCTATGAATAGACACTTAAAAACGGATTCTAAATTGAGGGAAGATGTGGGCCTGTTTCCTCTTATGGAAAAGCGTTATATAAGGTACAGCTTGTGTGACTGTTCCCAAGGGTCGGATGATTCTCTCTGCCTTTGTTGGGCATCCGCGTGAAGTGTGCGGGGATGCTCAAGCTACAGATGAATGAGACCGTCCTCTCAAGAGACTTGCAGACTGAGGGCAGTCAGGGGAGAGCTGGTGCTTCTCCCTACAGATGTGGGGTGCCAGTGGGCAGGCCTCCGCTGGGCAGGGAAGCTGGCCGAGCCTGCAGACAGGCTCCAGATTTCCCCAAAGTGGAGGATGCTGGGGCCCGCCTAAGATGGACATCTGGGCTGGCCCGTGGTGCTCGCCTTAGCAGGTGGCTGTGGGCCTTGGAGACAAGGACACAGTGGACATTGGGTGAGAATTGCAGTCCGGGCTCCTGAGTGCTTCCTTGCTGCCCTGCTTGGTCGCATTGTCGGGAGCTGGGTGACGGATGCCTGCAGCGGACAGAGGTCTTTCTCAGTGACCTGTTTGCACTCACAAGGCAAGCTTGTAACATACTGAGGAATTGACACCCTATATCCTGAACCCCAGTGACATGTTCTGACCAGTGGACATAAGGTTCAATATGTGAACTCACCCAGAAATCACTCCTTTCTGGAGTTGTTTGATGATGGGGTTTGGAGGTGAGGAAAGAGATGCTCCTGGAGGCTGATGTGGTTCGAGGCAGTGTGCTGGGAGGTTTTTTGTATTTCTCCTTCCCAACCACCTTTGAAATCCTTCTTACTGTCCACTTTTCACCTTTGATGAAGCTGTGGCCAAAGATGTGAAGGGATTTGAAAGGTAACAGAAGTGCCATATCCCGCTTTGGAAGGAGATTGAACAACTCTGCACACGGCAAGTTCCCGTTGAGTCAGGGAGCAGATGGCAGTTGTGCAGATGGCTTGGTCAGAATGGAAGCTTCATCAGTCTCCTAAGAAATGGTCGATTTTGTCCTTTGTATCTAGACCATCCAGAGCTGCACTGGGCCAGTGTGGGGTGGCAGGGGACTCCCCCACATTAGTGAATTAAAACCTACTGATAGAAATGTCTGTCCAGGGAATGAGAGTGACTTCTTGGCTTCTTTAGAAAAATGACAACAATGAGTGGAGATTAGACCTTTGTGATGAAGTAGGAGTCATTGTCTGCTTATGCTAATAGCTGTGCCCTATTGTCTTATGCCACAGAATGGCATGGTCCCCTGGGACTTCAGATGCTGGGGACCGGCAGCCCCGAGCTGGCCAACCAGCACAGCTGTTCTTGAAATGTCTCAGCTCCTCTGTTCTCAGGAGATGTGGCTCAGAGAGGGGGCTGTCATTGTTACAGCTTTGAAAGGAACTAAGAAATTCCTTTATAGAATGCATTCTGTCTTCAGCCACCTTGGAGGAGAACAGGAATTTGCATGTGATGTTTAAGACCAGAAAACCCTCCTCCTCTTGCTCACCCCAACTTCCCGCTCCCTGGTCATCTGCTGCCCCTGTCCTGAATTCCTGGTCCATGCCCGAGCTGGCCTTGCTGCCCTGGAGTCTGTTGGCCTCCACTCCAGCTTTCCTTTTGCAAAGGTTTCTCTGTTCAAGAGAAACCTCTCTGTGAAGCTGCTGGAGAGGAGGGTGGGCTGTGAGGCAGGCACAGAAAGGAGAGCTGGCCTTTCTTCCTTCCTTTTCCTTTTCTTTAATCTCTCACCATCCCCCTCCGGCCCCCACAGGCTCACCCACCTCAGTCTGAAAGTGTCCCCAAAATACTGACTCTGCAAACTAGTGGGGTCAATCTTTGTTGTGGGAAAAATACATATTCATGAGGGCTTTGAGGCCCTTCATTAACATGCAGGTAGTCTCTCCTTCCAGAGAGATACACAAGCCTTCCCTTTATTTGCCCAACACCATGTTCTTAAGGCAATAATTATGTGATGAATGGCTAAAGAAACATGGTAATTATTTGTTTGGGGTAATTTCTGATCATCTCTTTAGAATTATAATCGGTTCACTTTTACAGGTAATTCGAGACCTCTCACTCATTTAAATATCTATACAGTGGGAGAACTATAAAAGCACCCAAATCATTTCTGAAACCAAAGTGATTTTCTGTATTCCCTTCTGTTTTGTTACAGAAAGACTGCATCACCAGGAGGTTTTTCTGGGCGCTACCGAACCACTCCTTTTTGGTAAGAACTGTGGGTGAGGTTTTGCTTCTAACGTGTGTGAAATGGGGCTGTTTTCCGGGAGAAACACACTTCAGGTGGAAGTGGGTCGATCCACTCACGATCCGTATTTCCCGGCAGGCTGTGTACGTGCGTTCAACTCAATTCTAGTCTGAGCAGAAGGAGTTTTGTTCACAGCCAAGAAGCCCAGACACGGGGCTCACTGCTGGGCCCTTGCATTGTCTGGATGTCTCTGCCACCACGCCCACAGGCTGCCATGAGCATACCTGTCCCCTCCGCCTTCTCACTAGACCAGTGCTCCTGGAAGCCCCAGAACTGCCCCCCCACCCCATTCAGTCCCTTATGTGTGTCACCCCAACCTAGATTTCTTGATATCCTGAAAGCGGGTACGTATCACCATTCAAAACCTCTCCCTGTCAAGCCTGGGCAGCATTAAGCGCCCTGTGAAGTAGCTGGATGCTGAGCGAGAAGTCCTACTTTGCCCAAGAAGAGCCCTCCCAGGCTCCCCAGGGATGAGGGTGGCCGTGTTGCTGTCATGTGGGTGTACAGTGTGGTTGCTGTGATGGTGCTGCCTCCCAGGCCTCCCCACCTCATTGGCACATGGCTGCTTCTTGCCCTGTAGGACTGTAGGAACAGTTTGCGTGGGTCTCTGGAGCCCTGGGTGCCAGCTGAGTGCCTGGTACAAGGGAAACTTGCTGACAATGAGTTGTCATCTGGACCAAAGCCACCCCTGTGGGTTGGTTGTAAGGAAGTGGTGTCTGGGTTGGGTGTGATTGAGGAGCAGGGAGAAGAGGAGGTTGTGTTACAGGTGAGGAGGCTGAACCATGCATGGTCTGTGCCCTGATGCCCAGAGCACGTCTGAGCTTCTGTAGGATTCCTTGGGTTCTTACCCACCTGCTGGTCATGGACAAAACCATAGTGGCAGCCATCTAGAGTGTTCCATGGAGGGAAATTTGACTCTGGGACTCCCAAAGGAAAGGAAAACCTTGGATTTGCTCTGCAAGGAAACTCTGTGCCAATTCTGATGCTAAAGGTGTAGAAGCTGTGGCGGGGGGAGCAGTGGAGACGGGACACTAGAGCCTCAAGATCTAGGTTCAAAGCCACTGTTTGCCTCTGCGGCTGGAGAAAGGCACAGGTCTTGCTATATGGAGCTACTGAAAGAACGCTTTGTTAAAGCAGCTTCCTTCACTTCGCTGTCTAATCCATCAGTCGCCCTGCATCTGGCAGCCACTGTGTCCCTGTGCTGCTGTGGCAGGAACCCCGAGGTCAGGTTGGGGATGTTCTCGTCACTTATGCCCAGGATGGATTCCGTGGTAGTTATGGGGGTGGGGAGGAGTTTGAGAGATGTAGGACACTCAGTCCCCATCTGAGGAAACAGGGAGACCTGCAGAGAGCTGTGTGGTTTGTTAAAGGGTTTGGGCATAAGAAGAAATGAGTAGGTTTCTGGAGGTTTCCTCAGTGGTCTGCTTTTGCATTCTCAACAAGGCCTTTCTCATGCGTGTGATGTTCAATCTAGACTTGTGAATGCGCTTCAGCCTGCATCGTGCAAGGTGCAGCCACCTGCCGAGATGTGAAATGCTAAAGAGTTTTGGGAGATTCTGGGAACGGAAAGATTTTACTTGTAACTGGCAGTAAGAATAGCTTGTAAAGAGAGATGTTACTTATGGGAAATAAATTACTTATGGGGAACAAGTTAGTTATGGGGAATTCCCCCCAGGGTCCAACAGCTACCCCAACCCCTAGGTCCTCTAGGAACTGTCCACCATGGAATTGGCTTCTTGAAGTTTTCTTTTTAAAAGTAAGATTTATTTATTTATGCATACAAGAACCGGGGTGCAGGTCAAAAGTGCGGGCAGTGAGAGGATTTACGAGAGACAGAGTGGGGAACAGAACAGGCAGACTGACTGAAATACACTGCTGAGGGGAGAAGCAGGAGAGGCAGGAGAGGAGGAGAGGTCTGCTGCGCCATGTAGGTCACCTCCCTGGCCGGGCATTGAACTCGTGCTGCAGTGGCTGCGGATAGCTTCATAGTGCTGCACCTTACCTCTTGAGCCACCAGGGAGGCCTCTTCTTGGAGTTTTCTAAATGGAATTCGGTTGTCTTTGCACTCTGCTGGAGCCATGTGCAGTTTTGTTTGTGCCGGTAAGGTATAAAAGAGGTTTTTTTTTTCACTTCTGTGCCTCCCAAACAAACACCTAGTGGAATGTGTATGTATCGTGAAGCGTTAAAGCGTCACAATCCTTTGCTGTAGACAAGACTCTGTGCTCTCTTCCTGATTGAGCTCACCCTCTGCAGCCTAACAGGACCATCACTGAAGTGAATGTTCTCATCACAATACTCTACCACTCCCCTGCAGAAAAGCAGATTTCTTCTGTGAGAGTAAAGCGGGGCAATGAGATGGATACTTTTTAAATGTCAGTTATGCCAAAATCTTTGCAGAGAGAAGAGACCTGAGCTTATTTATTTTTCTACTGCAAATAAACCATTCTCTGGCTTCAGAATACCAATACCCAGAGTGTATGCCTGATGACTTTTCATGGGATAATTTTGTGACATGCTTCTACTTACGGTAAATGTAGGTTTCACTATGTTATAGTGAGAGATATGGGAGACCATATCTATCCTACAGGCTCTTGCTCTGTAAAATATGTAAGTTGAAATTACAGAAATTCAGTGATGATCCAGAAGGAATGGTGGGAAAATTAATAGAATGGGTTTAAATCAAGGATAAGTCTCAGAAAAGATGTTAAGTTAGAGATGTGGCATTTGTGAAAGTGACTGGCTGGTTGATGGGATGTCAGCATGTCCTTAAACATGTAAAAATGCTCTGTAAAATCTGACCAAGAAGGTTCCCAAAACACAAGGTCAGTAGAAAGTTGGGAATGCTAGGCTATCAGACATAAAAAGAGAATACAAAGCTGAATCACTAAGGGAATCTGATACTTGGCAGAGCAATGAGGTTCCTGATGAGACTGTGATTTTGTGTGGAGAGAGACAGAGGAACAGGTGGGACAGGACAGCAAGCCTGCTAACAAACTGTCACCTTCACAGGGACCCAAGAAGTAGCAGAGATGTTATTCACCAGGTGAGGAATGATGCAAGACTACTCTTTATCCAACTGGGAAATGATAAAATGAGATCCCTACCTCACAGCCTACACACAAGTAAATGCCAATAGAATTGAAGCCCTAAATGTGAACAACAAAATGGATTTTCTCTATGCCCTTGAAATAGGGTGAAAAAGGCTGAATACTATTCCAGTGGGTGTGTATGTAGCACATTTTCCTTACCACAGCCATCTGTCCATGGACATTTGGGTTGTTGCCACATCTTGGCTAAGTGAGTCAGGTTTTGCACTGTGTTCCCACCCCATTCTGTCCGCAGAAATGTTCACCCCAGGGAACACTTTTTGGTTCTCAGTGTCTGATGCCTATCATTGTGCTTCCTCCCATCTTCACAGATAAGACTCATGGGCCACCACTATGGGGGCCTTAGTTGGAATCTAAGCCACATATAAGCCTCTTCTCTGCTTTCCATCCTGACTGCTTATCTCCCTGTGAAGAACCTCGACTCCCGTGAGCCCCACCTCCATCCCATCAGTGCCTCATGGAGAGAGGATACTCAGGAGGCCTATGCTCATCATCTAACCTGAGTTTCGTACACTTTTAGAAGCTCACTTTCCTCGTGGACCCATGACTGGGGGGTGGTGATGGTGGTCATCTGAGTGCATCCCATAAGGGTGGGCACACCCAGCACATAGCAGCTCCTCATTATTGTTAGTTTTCTTGCCCAGAAGTGGCAAGGAGACCACAAGGACAGGTGTGGAATTGGTCCATGTTATTTGCTTTCAGACCTGGTGTGTGCTTTTAAATACTTGAAAACTCTTGCCCTGACACGCAACTTCTATGTTTTATTTTAAGTTACATGTTAGGAAGGGGAAAAATTCATCAACACCTTTTTTCAAAAAATGAAAAATCCATTAAGATAATAGCTCTGTGAGCTGCTATTGGGTTGGACCCAACATAATTAGTGTGATTAAGTTGAAGGAAGTTAGCCATTTCTGTGTGTCGTTTTTTATTAACAAGATTCAGACTTAATTAATTACATCCAATTCTAATTAATGAAATGAGTGTGTAAGTTGGCATTCTCAAACTGAGCTCTGTGGAGCCTTCGGACATGAGCCTGAAAAGAGGAATCCACACTCAGGAGAGGCTGGACACACCATGCTGTCCCTTCATCAGTGTCCCAAGGCCACTTCAGAGGCCAAGAAAAGTCTTGCTAGATAGTGGCTTTTTTTCAAATATTTATTTATTTGTGCATACAAGAACCGGGGTGCAGGCCAGAAGTGCGGGCAGTGAGAGGATTTACCAGAGACAGAGTAGGGAGCAGAACAGGCAGACTGACTGAAATACACTGCTGAGGGGAGCAGCGGGTGAGTCAGGAGAGGTCTGCTGCGCCATGTGGGTAGCTCCCTAGCTGGGGATTGAACCCGTGCTGCAGGGGCTGCCGGCGGCTACACAGTGCTATTCTCAACCCCTTGAGCCAACAGGGAGGCCCCAGACAGTGGCTTATTAACTCTGTTTAACCCACCACCTTCCAAACTTATTTTCAGCACATGTGCTTCTAGATACACAAGGAAATGCTATTTGAAGGCAGAGCAGTCCCCTCATCTGTGCCTGGGGAATGTGGAAGAGCCACACACGTCTGTGGAGACATGTCTACCGAGACAGTCTGTGTGGCAGACAGTCTGGGGCATCTACATGTGACTCTCCTTTCTTGACCAAGTCATTGCATCTTCTTCATTCAGTTTCTCACCTGCCGGGAAGAGTGCTATGTCCTACACCCCAGGGTGATGGTCCAGGTGAAAGTTGGTCCTTAAAGCGCCAACTTCTGACCTTGGCCTGTGGGAGGGCTTCCAGATGCTGTGGTTGCTACCTGCTCAGGTGGAGACCCTCATTTACAAGCAGGGCCGTGTCACTGGCCATGTCCTGACCTTGGGGCTC